ATGACACCATTTGTACCCACAGGTGTTACAGGTACAGGAACAAAAAAACGTGACATACTGTAAATATTTAACTTCTTATGTTTTCAATGTGAATCCATACTTTAACCACAGCCTGCAGTCAACCAACTCCACCTGAAAGAGTTTGTGTCATTGATCACAGCTGATTTATTAATGACTTCACAGTTGCATCACATAGTGCAGATATTTTTACGACAAGATAAGATCAGCCTTTATTTATCTTGCAGTGGAGAAATTCAAATTGTTGTCAGCAGCTTTACAAATAGAGATACACACATACTATACAGAAAAATGTACATATAAATATAAGAAATAGTGCAACAAGTATAAAAGTACACATAAAAGGAGATTGGAGCCAATGTTTTATTTTTGCTCATTTTTAACCTCTTAAGACCTGCATCCACATGTAGTTAATTTTTTTCATTATTTTTAGCATTTTTATTATTTTATTATTATTATTGTTTTATTATTGTTAATTATTTCTTTATACATTTTTACATTTTATACATAAATATATACATGTTTTCTTTAGATTTTTTAAAATCTTTACTTTGTCTTTGCTATTTGATCGGCTCAAATAGCAAAGAGAAAGAAAAAATGCATATCAAACAAGTGCTCGGGTCTTAAGAGGTTAAATTTGACTATCTTACAATTATGTCTGTTTTTACAGTTTAAGATTTATTTATTTATTTTAAAGATAACGTGTCTTTCAAACCCATCGGTGTATTTGGGGGGTTCAGAGGGTTCATTTCTAAAATTTCTCATCATATATATAAATATTCTCTTGAAGACATACATAGCTGTTATATAACTGTTAAGTAACACTTAATGGTGTCACATCATCCTCCATTAGTTTTTGGTGCCAGAAATAGGGTTAGTGATTATATGACCGATAACACTCAGTTAATTAATTCCATTGCCTTGAAGAAGAACATGTGATCCGTCTGCCAGTGGTGTACACTGAAAGGCACACATGGATTGTCAGATCAATTATATGACTCTGTATAATATTAGAGCACCAACATCACACAGACGGATTGCCAGGAAAATATAATAATGTTCTATTATACATGTGATCTGGTGCAACGTTAGTCTCACTTATTGGCCTCATGTTCTCTTTCTATAATCTATGTACTCTTTCATAGTTGTTCTACTTAAAGCCGCGGGGCAATAAAAGGCAACAACAGAAAGACATGTCGGACTAAAAGAGAAACACTGAGGCTCATTTAATGATACGAGGATGAAAGTAAAGGACGCGTTTTATTTAACGCCTTCACTCATTATTCTCTAACTAAAACCAACCCTGCTTGCTTCCTCTCACAATGACACCGTTGAGTAAGAGGATGTAAGAACCTTTCATAACCCACTTGTGTCCTGTTCTGCAGGTGGGTCAGAGACTCTTGAGTATCTCGACTATTATAAACCTGTGGTGTGGTTCTGGATCCTGGTGGGTTTGGCGTACTTTGCTGCAGTGCTCAGCATGATCGGAGACTGGTTTCGGGTCATCTCCAAGAAGACTAAAGAAGAGGTGAGTGCTCTGTAACAGAAAGGTCACGCACACGGGGAATTAGAAACCTTTTTTTTTTCAGGCAAAGAAGAAAAAACTGGATTTCATTTTGATATAAAGGAAGTTCGGGAGAATTTTCAGAGTCGGGGATCATCTGTTTGTGGCTTCATGTTCAGTTGTTGGTGCTCATTGACATTTTCTTTGTCTACCTGATAAATCTGGAGATCCAGATCCAGCAAGACATGACAGTCCAACATCAGTATTCTTGAGTAACAGGACAGAGTTGTGTTTTTCATTTAGCACATGGTCAGCAGTGTTAGAGTTCCTACTTATACTTCTCAAGAACCAACCTCTGTCATCCCCTTGACCCACAAAACATGTCACTGAAAGAGACTCTTAAGAGGCTCATACGTTGTTCTACATTGATGAACCACAGCTGGATCAATAATACTAAAGACTGATCTGAAGCATAAAGACAGATTTAAACTCTGACATACGGCTGTTGAGAGACAGTGCTTGAAATATTGTGCCTCTCTGCCTCCCCAGTATCTCTCTAAACATGACCAGATTAACTTTTATGGACGCTCAAGGCAAAAACTAGCTGGCTGGCTCTTATCTGTACACCAAGTGAGGACTGTAGGAGTTGAAATACTGATGTGAAGGTGTTAAAACCAGAGTTTTCCAACCTACAGAGCACAGTGAGAAGATTACCTAACTATGTAAAATACTTTGAAACCAATATTTAACCACCAACATTGTGAATTCACGATTAAAATCAATTAATTACGTGTGATTCTTGCAGAACCCTGTGTGTGTTTTGGGCTTCGAGGCTCTTGGCCGTTTGTAATTCAGCGTTGTCCGTGGGAGCTGTGTAGTCGTGATGCGATGGAGCCCAAGTGGGAATAACAGATAACAGTCCTCAAATGGAAGTGATGGAGATAGGAGATACAGCAAAATGAAAAAAGAGACCCAGGGATAGAAGTTCAGAACCGGACCCAATCAGTTGCCACTTAAAGTGAATGATCTGTTCACGAAAGTTTCTAGAAGGCGCCTTTTGAAACTCATAGATGCTCGTACTGATAGCAGTACTTCAGCCTGCCAAACGATGCGCAGTACAGTGTGTATATGTATGTATGGCTCAGAGTGGGTCTTCATCTTCAGCTGCATGGCTAAAACATGTCATATTCAACCCTCTGAACCCAAAGCATTTCATGGATCTTCTTCTTTTTCATCCTAATGGCTTAATGGTTACATCCAGTAGTGCAAAAATGTTGGTCTGGTTCAAGCAAACACTTTATTATCTGTCATGTTTATATCAGAGATGCAGTGATTCTGAGTAAACATCACTTAAATTTGCTTTGGCAACTCGACCGCAGCAGCTGAAGGACCGTCAGAGTTGAAACACCTCTAAAGAGAACATCACATCAGAGTTTCTAATGCCACTCCACATGCATTAGACCTCTTCACGCCGATGCTGCTGCAGCTGCTGCTTAACGCTGAACCCGTTGCACCTCCTCAGCAGCCCGACTCCCCTCACAGCGACACAGTAATACCTCAGTGTTTTGCAGTTCACTCTGCAAGGCATAAATCTGAAGTGATGAATCTCCATCCTGCCTTTTCCCCGTGAAGTAAATGCCATCTCGTACAGGAGTTGGATTAAATATTTGGTGTGTTTGCACTGGCTGGTGCTGAGTAATAAGATACCGCGCTGTTCTGGCAGGTTCATTATTTACATGTAAAACGCTGCAGAGCCACACATGCACCCTCCTGCATAAGCCAGCAACATACTCATCTTATTTCTTCATCCTATAGACTGTAAAAAAAAAAAAAGGGTTGAAGGGGCTGTATGGCCGTCTGCGGTGGGAATCCTTCCACAGGCATAATTAGGAGTACAGCTGTGGAGGCTGTGAGCTCTGTGGAGAATTACATTACTGAGGGAGCGGGTTTCAGGAGGCTGGGGGGGGAAGGGATGGTGGATGAGCAGCAGGCAGGGAAAGTGAGAAGACGGTCGGAGGGGAAGGCGCGTGGCGTTTTTGCTTTAGTGTGCACACACATACAGTCAGTCATGTGTCATAAATTTCAATTCAAGTGCTTTAACAGGCACACCTCAGAGCCCCATAAATAAATAAGCAGCCCGGAGAGAGAGGCCTAATGCATTATGAAGGCGGAATCAATGATGTATTTGCTTCTTTCTCTGCCCGTCACCTTTCAAAAAACCCTAAACAAACACGCCGAGCCTACAGTATATGGTGAAGGCAAAGGGTCACACACTGCTCAACCAAAAAAAGGTAATTTCTTATTTATTGCTTGAACCTCCTGCACTTATCTCGAGTGATGGTTGTGTAAGATTGTGTCTGCAGCCTCGAAATGCAATCGCTGCCTCATAGTTACACAGCGGAAATCACAACAAAAAGTTACAGATGTTCCATAAAGGTTTTCTAGACTATATGGTAGTGAGCAGTTTAAATCCATTGTTTCTTACAGATTTGTTCATACCACTGCATCACACGCTGAATGGCAGGTCACATATAGCTATCCACACCTCACCACATCAATCGCAAAAAAACGATCTCCTCAGGTACAGATTTTTCTTTTTCCGCCCCCCATTAATCTCCACATCTGCCGTTCGCCTCGGTGATGGATGACCATTTACTGCAAATAATAGATGAAGGTTATGAAGTACTTTCAGGGGCATCGCTAATTGGAGGGCAGGCAAGACATGTGGAAGAATGCTCGAGGGAAGAGCTGTTAAACAGCAGTCTGAACAAATTAATGGACATGGTATTTATGATCACAAGAGTGGGATCCATTAATTCTTGGTCAGCCGTTCACATTTAGGAGGTTATTTCTATTAACCTGTCCAAGCTGACAATGAATAGAACAGAAAGACAGGGATTTGGCGCGCCCATGATAGCTCATAATTATTTTACAAATCATGTTGACACACCTCCACAGTCTCTGTTTAGTTTGGTGGGTTCTTTTTTTTTGCTTCTGTCTCAGTCTTTTCACTGTGGGTTCATTTTTCACTGCAATATAAAGTCCTGCACCTCGATGAAAACAGCTCAACCGTGGCAGGAAGTAGGAGAAACTCATAAATGTCATTTGTGGCGTATAAGAAAAGTTATAACGCCATAAATCAAAACTACAAAAGCTGAACTTCCTTGAGGGAAGTATTCCTGATTTGGCTTGTTTAGAAACTTGGGCGTGTAACAGGTAATTCATCACAGGAGATGACTTATCACAACAAAGTAAAACGTACGACGTTCAAACTCATGCTTGAACGAGGAATATGTCGCATTTACATGCTTTGGCTGAGTTCTACATCATGCCTGGGTTAAGACACGCTGCTGTCGTTGCACATGATGGATGATACCGTGATAAGTATGTGTACATAAAACAGATATGCCGTCACGGTGTCGGCATGCAGAGGGAAGGTTATTTCTCCTTCATCAGCTGGAAGGGCACTGGAGGCTCCATGGCTACGAGACTTATCACAATCCATCATGTCTCAACCCAGGCATGAAGATGAACTTAAATCATGTAAATGAGGCGTATTTCTCAAATGATATGTTCGCCGCACCTCTCATCCGCTCATTCAAACGTGAGTGTCATGTTATAGCAGCATCACCTCATGACTGAAAACATTTGAGATTAGAACCACATCAGTAGTATATTGATGTAGTACATGATGTAAAAAAAAACCGTCTTGCTGTACTAATAAACTTCTCATGTTATAATGTGACACTCAGTTTTTCTGAGGTGGCAGCAATACCCTGATGTATTTAACCCACATGCTAACTAAATACAAATAAACGAATAGCAGCATGTGCATGGCGGAGGACTTGTGTTGTGCTCGATCACCTGCAGACATCAACCTCTGTTCTGTTTCTTGCAGGTTGGGGAGTTTCGTGCACATGCAGCCGAGTGGACAGCAAACGTGTCGGCAGAGTTCAAAGAGACCCGCAGGCGCCTCAGCGTTGACATCTATGACAAGTTCCAGCGTGCTGCATCCATCAAGCGCAAGCTGTCATCCGAGTTGGGTATCAATGCGTCCATCAACCAGGAAATGACCCCTGGCAAGAGGACGCTGTCAGCCAACCTGTGCGAGGACAGAGAGACTTACCCCAGCTTGACTCTCTCCCTCAGTCCTGTACCAGGAGCCCTGACCAGGAACGGCAGCCTCTACCTGAACGGCCTCAGCCCGGACTACGCCGACCGGCGGGAGATCGCCATCATTGAGAATCTCAAATGAGGAGGAGCATGAGAGTGAGATTTAGGGAACTGATAGTGGACAGATGTTTCAAATAGATTCACACTTTTGTGCTTATTGACTGAACCGATGAGGTACGCGTTCATTGCGTTCCAATCATCCGATCACTTAAACACAGATCAGTCATCCAGCTGCGTACCTTCATGTGCATTCATTCTATGAAAGGAGTCAGACTTTCATTACGTCCCTGCCAACGTGATCGACAGCCGTGCGAGTGACTGAGCCAAATCAAAAGCATGATCCAGTTCGGAACAAATGACTGCATCAGAGGCAGCAGACTTCTTTCATGAGCAGGACGGAAACGCTGAGGTGGCAACACGCCGGACCGCCTCTTCTCCTATTTCCTGTCAAACACGCGGACCTAAACGCATTCATCAAACTTGGGAAGCAATAGATGTGTCTGTTCTCATCTCTTTCCAGAGGCCCTGAAATCTGCATCAGATAAAGAGGATCCTCACTGCTGAAAACACCGCATCGTCGAACACTGGTTTCTGAGTCCCGTGCTAACACAGAGGAATGTCACTTTTGTCTTTGGGTTTACACTTCTTGCAGTATCGATTTATATGCCTTGCATTCGCCGGTCAGTCTGCCCTCACTAAAGAGACGAATGTTGACAGCTTAGATCCTTCATGACCGAAATTCAGCTTCTCATCCTAAAGAATAACCCACTTGTGCCTTACTTAAGACCACAGCGAACATGTGAGGATGGAGGACGCATGTCAGAATGAGCAACGCTTTGTCCGTCCACTCATACTTGTTATATTTGAGCACAGCAGTAATAAATACTTAGGAGGAATCTTAGAAAACAAGATTTTTATTTAACTTATTTCAAGAGGAATATATAGTATGCATGACACATGAGTGGAGAAACCAAGCTAAGATTGATTGAATGAGATAACTACTGGATAAACATCATCTCTGTCTAACGTTTGAGGTATTCATCTCCCATCTCGATGTGCTCAGATAGCTGCATTAACCACACAGTGCCAGGCTTCCTGATCAAACCCCTCTCTCCCCCTATACCAAAGTAATGAGCCTGCTTTCCCGAAAGAAGAAAATAGGTTTCCCGTCTGATCAAAGCATCCCGAGTCCTTTATGTTATTTCTCAATCCTGACCTGCAGGCTTTCTTGAAATTGAACCAAATGCAATGTGTTTTTTTTCCCCCCCTCTACGAAACTGAAAAACGAAGCTCGGTGCGTCGATGCTATTTTTTCGTTCCAAGTAAACCCCCGGCGTATACGGTACCGTAGCGAGCTCGGAGGCATTTCTCTACTCTGCTTTTCACGCTCGAGCTAGCCGATAAAGATGAGGTCTGTTATGTCTTGCCAATACTGAATGTATGCTATCAGAAACCTTTATTTGCTGTGCGAAGTGCAGCGACTCTAAATCACTAAAATGTGTCAAAATTGAATCACCTCTCAGTTGAACAGCAGGTGTTTGCTCTAATGTGAAATTCTACTCCAACAATTTAGATCTACTGTGTTAAGAATAAAACTCCCAAAGTCAACAGTCCGTTCATTACTGACGTTCAAATCTTGTGTTTCCATACCTTTATTTTCGATGACAGACTCCGTCCTTCTCACCAGTTCATTTCTTTAGAGATTGTCTGACATTCTTTGGAGACCTTTCTTTATTCAGCTGTTCTTTGCTGGAAGGGTTTTGTTGCCCTGCCTTTCACTTCACACACTTTGAAGTTGTTCTGTTGGATTTACGTCAGGAGACATGCTCGTCCAGGTCATAGTTTTTTTTCTTCTTATGTAATTTTGGCAGTGTGTTTGCATCATTGGCACACTGAAATATATTCCTCTTCTGCCAACCTTTTGCAGACTGGGAGTCAGTATTTTTGTCATACCTACAGCTACTCGTGGTTCCATCTGTAAATGTCATATCCTCAGCACCTTTTGCATTCATGCAGCCTCGTATCATCACACTCCCAACTCTGTGCTTCACTTTCAGGACTATGCATTCACTGGTAGCGTTAATGCCAAACATGCTCAACCCCATCTGAACCAAACACATTCACCTCATCTTGTCTCACAATTACATTTTTCAGTTCTTCAGGCACTTTTTTTTCCACCAGAGGTCCAAACTTGAGAAAGTTCTGGTGTGCACATATCACTTTATTACCACAGTTGTGCAGTTATTGAAACTCAAACGTGCACTCAGTTTGGTTTCAGTGGTTTTCTAACTCACAGGAATATTCACGGCTGTCGCATTGAGTCTCTACCTTGTGCTTCTACATTCAAGGCCTCTATGTGTCAAGTGTGTTTTTGATAGTACATAAGAGGAACTGCTCGACTGTTCAACTGAAAATACTCCAGTTATCGAGAGATGACGGAATCATTTGACATTTAGCGCTGCTGTATGCTACAAATACGCAGCTGAGTGTTGATTGAAAATTATGAAAATAGCAGCAATGCCATTCAGGCACCATTTAACGTTCATTCAGAACATAACAAAGAACATAACTGTTCTCATTTGAACCTCGTCCATTTTTAATTCATGGCGTTCCTGCGATGGCATTTTATGCCAGCATACGGGATATTTCTGGATTTGCTGTCTCCCAGTCGAATGGTTTGGATTGTGAATCTTTTATGGATTTTATTCAGTGCATTTATCCAGCGAGATATGCTGCAATGTTCTCAGTCGATTTGTCAGTGCCATGTACCGCCTGTAGCATCACAGAACACTACAGTGTGCGCCTGTATGCCAAACATCTGTACCATAGTTTATGCTTTATCATATATAGAAGTATGTTTATAGTATGTTTTGGATTTTACATTTTTGTGTTTTAAGTACATTTCAGGGCAACAAGATTCTGTATAATTTTATTCCTTAACTATACAGCTTAAGCCCTTTGCACCAGCTCTTGGTAAACTCAGCTTATTTATAACTTAAGTGCTCACAAAGTGGCGTTTTAAACATCACTAAACTAAAAGAGGTTGCACCAAACAAACTTACGAAAAAACAAATAGTTGCAACTAATAATTGACATCCAGGTGTATGTGAGGAGGTGTTTGCTTCTGAATTCATTTCTCATCTAAAAGACTAGAAGAAGTGACAACACAGTTTGTCTCATGATGCATTTTGGGAGGATTTCAAATTTGATCTCACAAAAATAAAAATATCTCAAAACAGTCCGGTTTGTACGGAAGCCTAGAGCATTCATGTCCACACATTTTTTTTAAACGCCATTTTTCCGAGATAACGAGATAATTATCCCGTTGACAGTTTCGGCTGTCACTTCAGCCTTCATCAGAAGTTGTCGGACTTCCTGGTGTGACGTATCTTATATAGACAGCTGACCGGGAACTCCGACATGACGTGTCATGAGAACAGCTGACCGGGCACGACAGCTTACGATGAAGCGCTCGTGCCCGGTCTGGTCTGTCCTCTGGCCCCCCGCTGGTGACTGAGGATGGAATCCCAGGTGTGTGGGACCTTGCACACACCTGGGATTCCATCCTGGGCACAAGCGGGCAAACACAAACGATTCTTGTTGTCCCGAGATAACGAGAAAATTAACTCGTTATCTCGAGAAAACGGCGAAGAAAGAACAGTAGCGGAAAACGACCGCTCTCGGCTTCCGTAGGTTTGCCTCAATGGCCAAAAAAAAAAGTGATTCGTTCAAAATCTGGAACACATTTTTCATTTACATTTAATAGTTTCATAACAATCAGTTTACACTAAAGCCTTTACGACCTTACATGTCTCTTACATTTTAATGGTCCAACTCAGGCGTGAAACTAGCAGGACTTTACCATCAAGCTTTGATTCCCGATCACCTGGTGCAACACAACCCACGCCATTATTATCATCAGGTTTGCTTTGTCTTTTTTTAAGCACTGAGTCTCGTGGTTTTCTTGAAAGGTCGTCCTCAGTGATTCGTGCAGAGCTCGACTGTAAGGTCAACAGCTGTCACACGTAATCAAGTCAGAGAGGAGTCACCGAGACGTTGTACGATAAAAAATAAGGGAGGAGGTTCCAGAAAGCATCACTACGTTTGCCTTTCTTTGTTGCATTTCTATAACACAATAAATAGCATCCACGCACTTACAGTGTGTTGTATGGACTTGCAGTGGATGAAGAGAAAGCCCAGCACATGGAAGCTGAGCTGCCCAGCCTTAGTGTAGCTTCTCAGAGCGAAGCCCCCCTAAAAGTCGTCATATTGCTTTTTCCCAGTCAGCCATGTGATTGACAGCCTGTCAGCGCCGCGGTAAGTCGAAGAAGTGTTGCGTAATATGTCAGGTCGTGGAAGCCCACACGGGGACAAGCGTGCATGATTGTGACAGTCAGCGTGCATGTGCAATAAGGAATGTGTGCGTATCAGGGGGTTTGAGGAAACTCATTTCATTTCCACCCACACAAGCGTTTTTCACACGGCATCCTCTGTATTTTCCCAAGGTGACAGTTTTTAATTAAGTCTGTGGCTCAAATCAAAATCCCAGTTCAGGCGTGTTGAATGTATCTACCCATTCATGACGGCATTCATTACGAATGTAAGCACATTCATCGTTTAACGCTGTGATTAATGTTTGCAAAGGAGCTGAAATAGCTCAGAGGAGATGCTGTGAAAACAAGAGGCTTTTTAAAGCTCTGGCCCTCACTGATTCAAAAAAAAGAGAATCACAAGAGTCAGATTGATGGTTACGGTGGATAAAAGGGTTTCAGAAAATCAGGATAAATATATCAGCGGCATCAAGAACCATTTTTAAAGAACCAAAGCTTTGGTTTGGATTTGATCATTTGCCTAAAATGTATGCATGAGAACCTTGTAAGTGAGACTTGTCATGTTTCAGGACAGCTTCACTGTTTCTTCTGTAATTTTCTAATTTACAGTAAACACACGTGTAAAAATGTGCCCATATACATTTGATGGGGTCACGTGCACACTTGTGCACATTTTTTAACAACATCATTTTGGCAAGTGTTGCATGCTACTCTAAATGTTCCTTCCAGTGTTTCTAGGTCAGACGCTGTCCCAGGCTCTGCTTCGGTTTAAATAACAGTATAGCATCGTATGTTTCCAGTACGTTAATATGTTAATGTTGGTATGTCACTTCAAATCATGACTCACTTTTCTGAAAGTTTAGAATAAAATATTTTATATGAAAAAAAATCCTGAAGGTCACTGATTGGTTTTTGTTGTTGTTGTTCTTAAACAAAAAGTTGTTTATCAACCCTTTACACCCCAAGCAGGGCTTTTTTTTCTTTTTTTACCTCCAGTCAGATTTTTATTCACTGCGGTTGAAGTTTTCACAAAGTTCTGCACCTCAACAGAAACAACACAACTATGGCTCAAGGTAAGGAGACTTAGAAACGTATTTTGTGCAGTACACGCCATATATCACAACAAAGAAAAACAATGAAAGATGAATTTATTAGGTTCATTATAAGCATTTTTAAACTTGTGTCGTGCATGTTGGTTCCAAGTGCCAACAGGTGCTACCATGACTGGAGAAATGGGGGCTCCACATACTATAAATAATTAAGTATTTACATTTTTAATTTGTTTAACATACTTGTCTTCTATCTTAGTTCAGCCAAACAGGCCCTGAACTGTAACGGTTTGTTGCAGCTGAGGCACTAACGGCTTCTTGGTTGCACAGAGGAGCAGGATAGTGTTCTAGGTTTTCTCATGATCAGGATGTCATATCAGCATGTGGTGATAAAATGATGATATGTGACAGTTTTAAAGCTTCCCTAACAGAGGAGTAGTTGAAGAGCTTTTGATCACGTGTTCCCACTCTACTGATCAGTAAATAAACTCCCAATCATGTCCAGACAAACCTGCACAATTACACATTCTATACATTTTAGCCTTTTGTCCACATGCAGACGCAGTTTTAGGTCACTGACAACTGAGCTTGAAAGCTTCCAGGGTAAAAACTCTGCTACAATGCACTGCTAACGTCTTCACAGGGAAAACAGAACTGTTGGTTTCTCCTTTCTGTGATGTTATCTACTTTATAAACATGCAGCGATTCCGGTCTATCACTGCAAGGTGGAGCGGTGGTTAGCTCCGTCGCCTCGCAGCGAGAAGGTCGCCAGTTCGCGTCCCGGTGAGGACACCCGGGATCTTTCTGTGTGGAGTCTCCATGTTCTCCCCGTGCAGCGTGGGTTCTCTCCGGGTTCTCCGGCTTCCTCCCACAGTCCAGAAACATGCTGAGGTTAATTGGTGATTGTAAATTGTCTGTAGGTGTGAATGTGAGTGTGCTTGGTTGTCTGTCTCTAAGTGTAGCCCTGTGATAGACTGGTTACCTGTCCAGGTGAACCTGCCTTCACCCTGAGTCAGCTGGGATAGACTCCAGCCCCCTGAGTGAGGATGAAGCGGCGTATAGATGATGGATGGATGGAATTCTGTGGCCAAAAAAGTGCAAGCACTAACCTTACCATGTTTGCACAGTAACAGAATCAGTCCATGTCTATGTTTCCACTCTTCCTTGATGCACCGTGCTTGCTAGCGACCAGAACCAGAAGGCTCAGATGGTAGCGTTCAGTCAGACTTCTATTAGCCAACAACGCTTCAGAAGTTAGATCACCGTCTGGTGGCCTGGAACGCTCTTGGGAACATTTCCGTTGTTGCATAAATGAATATACAAAAACACAACGGAAATGTTGAAATGGAGATTGATTGATTGATTGATTGATTGATTGATTGATTGATTGATTGATTGATTGATTTATTTATTGAGCAAAGGTGGAGACAATTTTTTTTTTTTTAAATCACATTTCAAAAATCTCTTGGCTCCATGTGGACAGGACCCCAGTCTCCCACTACTCCTCTACCAGATATCCTTTTAGTGCCTTGAGTCTAGCTGTCTAGTGTTGTGTTCTTTCTTGGTTGTTTTGTTTTGCTTTTCTTTTTTATCTG